ATCTCCTGCTTTTACAACTGATCCCCAGCTGACAGAGATCAGCTCCCCTGCTGCTTTGAAGGGTGGACTCTGTGACATTGTACCGTGCTGAGGCACCTCCCCTCCCCTCCCCAAACCCTGCCCTCTCCTGGATCCACCCCCAAACTCTCCAGGTATTTTCCAACCTAGACCTGGCAACCCAATCATGTCGGTATCCTGGTACAGGAGTTGCTGTGTTGTGTCATGGCTGGTGAAGAAGGTGCCTTGTGGGCAGAACCCTAAAGTATGGCTTCTTTTCGAGGTGCTATTGTCTAAGGAGAACTTGCTATGTTGCTTCCATGTCATGAATAGATATCAAAATCTGAAGGGGTTTTGAGTTGGTGTTGGCGATCATGAGGCCTCTGGTGGTGATTGGTGGAGCTGCCTGCCTGTTGCAGAAGGACTGGCAAATCAGAAGGGCCTCTGGCTGCCATTGGTTGAGCTGTGCTGATCCTAGACAGGATTGGGGCCGGTGGAAGATCCTAGGAAAGGAGGCATAGAAAAAAGCAGGGTACTAGGAAAATATAGGTGGGAGAGTTGTACAGTGGAAATGAGAAGGTAAGAAGGAAGAGTCTGAGATGGAAAGGAAATCGGGGGGTGGGGGTGGTTTCAGACCTCACTCTGCAATCTTACAGGCTCAAAACGTCCTTTAAATATTAAACGAAAAGGTGAGAATCTCAGTAGGCCGAATGCTTTGTACCTGGTGCCAATCTAGACCGTTGCACGTCTGAATTGTCTAGGCCTTCCTTCTGTGTCCTGTGCAGGTCCCCTTTAGAAAGCAGGATGGGGTAACAATAGAGAGATGGGGGCAAGCAAGAGGAAGAGGAAACCGATCTGTAGCCAGCAAGGATTGGGGAAGAGCCCCCGTGTTGCTTAGACCAATAAGCAAGCCTGGCCCAACAGCATTTGTTGCCTTTATTGATGTTATTTTAATGTGTTTTTATCCCACCTTTCCTCCAAGGAGCTCAGGAAAGAAAACAGGGCTATCTCCTCCTTTGTTTTGTCCTCACAGCAAACCTGTGAGGCGGATTATTCTGAGGTAGAATGACCGGCCTGAGGTCACCCAGTAAGTTTCATGGCAGGTGAGGGTCGAGACCCAGGCTCCACTGATCCTGGTCGAGTTCTAACCACGACGCCACACTGGCAGGACCTGACTCACTCTATCTAGCCATTGTTGCTAAGAGGTTTTCCTGACTGGCATGGCTTTCAATTCCTGTTTTTTGTCAAGTGATTTCAGGACTTGAGCCTGCAACAAAAGGGGTCTAACACTGGAGGCTTGGTGGTGGTCAAACATAGAATCATAGAATGTTAGAGTTGGAAGGGACCTTGCAGATCATCTAGTCCAACCCCCCGCACTCTGCAGGAGCCTAGCCGAAAGATAGCCCTACAACATACCCGAAAGATGGTCGTCCAGCCTCCGCTTGAAAATGTCCAGCGAAGGAGCATCCACCACCTCCCGAGGCAGACTGTTCCACTGCTCAACCACTCTTACAGTTAGGAAGTTTCTCCTGATATTTAGCCGGTAATGACTCCCTTGTAATTTCCACCTATTAGATCTAGTCTTGCAATCCAGAGCAAGAGAGAATAGATCTGCTCCATCTTCCACATGACAGCCCTTCAAATACTTGAAGACTGCAATCATGTCCCCTCTAAGTCTTTTCTTTCCCAGGCTAAAGAGAACAACATGCATTCGTTGTAGAAGAGAAAAAGCCTCTTTAGTTTTGTGGGTTTGTTTTTTTTCAACTAGCATAGCTCTCTTTTGTTAATGTTTGACTACATTCACACTTCAGGCTACTAAGCTGATCATTTTTGGGGAGTGGGGAGCATCCAGAAGGTAAATTCAAATTTGACATTAGAATTTATCTACAGCTTTTGTACAATTGTTGCCTAGTTTGTTTTACCTTTTTGGATATGGATTTATCTGCAGCTCATCTAAAATTTGGAAAATGCAAATCGGAAGTGGCTGGGGTTTAAAATGTTTTTCTTCTAAACACATTCTTCATCCCAATCAAAATTTCTGTCTCTTAAAAAAAAAGATGAGCTAACTGGCCTACGTTTTGTTTTGCATTTCCCGACACATGCTTAAGAGATCTCATGTGTGTTTGTGTTTTTAAAAGTGTGTGTAAGTGGAGGAGAGGAGGCGTGTCTCATTAAACTCATCAAATAGCTTTATCCAAATAATTTTCAAGTCCCAGCATGTTGTGAGCACGGTTTGCCCCCTCCCCCCTTCCTCTTTTTGATAGAAATTAGGATCGTATACTTGTAAATGACTTGTGGAAGAGATTGAAGCAGGCGGTGGAAATGGAGTTCCTCCAGGTGCCGGTACCTAATAGCACTATAATAGCTGCTGAGTCGCTGGGAGGTCCACATTATGACAATGTAATCAGAATCCTGTGGCTATATACTTATTGTCTGACACTTGTGGAATTTTAAAAGCAATAACAATTTAAAAAAAAAAAAATCACAGCATTATTATTAAAGTTATTTTCTTCCTTTTTCCCTGATGCTGGTTGGATGCTCATTTTTAAAGGGTTTTAACCTTAGTAAAGACATTGCAATCCGTGCTGGAAGGGAGATAGCTTTGCTCTTGAAGTCGCGCTATGCAAGTGCTCCATCTCTATTTAATACCTTTTTTATTTTCATTACTAATTTTGAGAGAGGGGGGGGGATTGAGTTGAGGGAGCATATCTAAACCAGAAGCCAAATAACAGCCATTCTTAAGTAAGCAGACAGTGGGAAGCATTTTGTGTGGAATTTGGTCTTGTCACAAATTCACCGGCAATCTGAGACTCTTTTCCTGTCGCTGTTTGAATCTTATTTGCTCCTTCGACAAGTGGACTGAGCTTGTTTGCCATCGGGGTTTAATCAGTTGCCATGACAAGGAGGCTAGGAGAAATTCCCCCTTCCAAGTCAGATTGGTAATGACATCCAGGGAGGCTCTTTTTATGATACTCTGGCTGACAAGCCCCTGCCAGCAGAGGGGAGGCAGGTGGCAGCTGGGGACAGGGCTTTTTTGATGGTGGCCCCTCATCAGTAATGCCCTTCCCCTTGAGGCCCTCCTGACACCTACCCTGTGACCTTTGAGGCCCCAGGCCAAAACATGGGTTTTTTAATTATTAAAAGCTTGGTTGTTGTTTTTTAAAGGGCTTTGATCTTTAAAAGTGAGTTTCCAGTCTGCTTCTAGCCCGAGGAAATTGTGTGTGTGTGTGTGTGTGTGTGTGTGCGCTGTCAAGTTACTTCTGACTTATGTTGGCCCCGTGTACTAATGACCTCCAAAGCATCCTCCTCTCGTTAACAGCCTTGCTCAGGTCTTGCAAACGGAGGGCCTTTGTGGCTCCCTTGACTGAGTTCATCCATCTTACATTGGATCTTCCTCTTTCTCCGCTGCCGCCTTCACTTTTCCTCGTATTATTGTCTTTTCTAGTACATTTGAGCAGTGGCTCAAGTGGTTAAGACGCTGAACTGCAGGCTGTGGAAGGTCGGTAGTTCAGCAGTTCGAGACCCAAGTGTGCCGCATGATGGAGTGAGCTCCCGTCTCTCGTTCCAGCTCCTGCCAACCTAGCAGTTTGAAAGCAAGAAATTGCAAGTAGATAAATAGGTACCACTTCGGTGGGAAGGTAACAGCGTTCCGTGCGTCTTGGTGTTTAGTCATGCCGGCCACATGACCACGGAAACGTCTTCGGACAGTGCTGGCTCTTCGGCTTTGAAACTGAGATGAGCACCGCAACCTTAGAGTCGGATTCAACTGGCTTTCGAGCAAGGGAACCTTTACCTTTTACTAGTACATTTGCCAATTTGGAAACCATTCTGTCTCTCCATATCCTGTCCTAACAGTAGCCTCTTGTCCAGAGTCCAGGTTGTGCATCAAAACAATAAGAAGTTATGGCGCATCGATTCCTTTTAAAGCCAGCCATCGCTTTTCATGGTCCACAAAGTCAAAATGTTTTGCTGTAATCTGTGAAACATAAGCTGATTTTCTCCTGGAATTCTCTCGTATGCTACAGTAACCAACATACATTATTTGATACTGCTAAATGTTTTGTGTTAAACTTTTAGCGATGTTAATGCTTGTTTCGTGATTTTATCCTGTTTTACTTTGTAAACTGCCACATGGAGTGTCTATGGAGAGGCAGCATACACATTTTATAAAGAAACACCTGATCACCCAAATATACGTAAGCAAGGCCAGCCTGATTGTGAGGCGGGTTGAAGGCCTGCAGTTCATACAGCAAATTTGGAGCATGTCTTGGAAGTGGAGCGTTTTGGACAAAATGCTCCATTTGTAGACCTTTAGCTTAACAGTTCCAGGAAGAAACTCATTTGCATGCTGGTTTCTTAGGGTGGCTGTCTGTGATGGCACCATCTTGGCCTTGAGCTGTGAGAAGACTTTAGGCCAACCCTGTTAATTGAAGATGGTTGTGTCCCTTCCGCAGTGAGGGAAAAACGGCCCCCAAAGTTCTGTTGTCTTTTGTTATTTCTTCAGCTCTGGCATTTGTGATAAAATCTGGAACAAAACTGCATTGAGCTTCCATCACAGCTCTTCCCACACCTTTGTATGCTGCGGGGAGAGGCTGGTTTTCAGTAATGTCGGCTTCGTTTTAACAGACAGTCCTGATTCAAGAAGCTCTTCGACTTCGTTGTAGCTGTGCTTTTCTTGTTTCTTACTTGCCCTTCTCTACAAACGTAGACCAGAGGCAGATTCCATATTGGTAAAATGCAGCTGAAGATGACGCAGAAGAAGAGATTGGATGTATACCCCGCCTTTCACTCAGAGTGGCTTACAAACTCCTTTCCCTTCCCCTCCCCACAACAGACACCCTGTGAGGTGGGTGGGGCTGAGAGAGCTCTTTCCAGAACTGTTCTTTCAAGAACAGCTCTGACAGAACTATGGTTTGCCCAAGGTCATCCAGCAGCTGCAAGTGGAGGAGTGGGGAATCAAACCCGGTTCTCCCAGATTAGAGTCCGCACACTTAACCACTACTCCAAAACTGGCTCTCATAAGTTAAGATACAGCTAAAGAGAAGACACTGCTTTGCTATAACTTTATTCTTAATTCCAATGTAGCAGTTCCCAAACCGTGCACTGTGGGAGAATTACTTGGGTGCTGTGAGAAATAAACCACTTAAGCAGTTAAAGGGTCTCACGACCTGAGATTTCCTGCTCCCAGAGAAGGATGGCCACCTCTGCTGGATTCAGCACTCTGGCCATGTCTTCTTCCAACCTCTGCTGAGTCTCTACTTGGGTTATAATTACATGTTCCCATCACTCCCCAATGCCGGAACTGAATGACCATCATGGAGTCATGCCTAGAGCAGTGCTGCATGGAGAAACAGGGCGCGGGGGAGGTTAAACACTCTTCCTTCTGATCTGCCAGCTCTCTCATTCAGGCACACAAATACCCCGCCCTCACGTTGTGACTTTCCCCCTCTTTTTCTAGCATACATATTTGCTGAGGTAACATGGTGTGTACTAGTGAAGTGTACCTCCGGTTTTTATTTGAGAATATTAAACCCAGGAAGCGTAGCAAAAAGAACTTCAGCAAATTCTCTAGTATCACCTTAAAAATTAATCAGTGCCTTGTGGGATGTGTGCTTGTGGGTGAGAGAGAGCCCACTTCATCAGCTGTACGAAGTAGATAGCAAAAGCTTTATGAACGTATATTGTGCATCTGGGTGAGTGCAGTATCTGGAGTGGGCAGCACAGTTGGGTAAGGGGACAGTTCTGCAGGGTGAGCACAGCCTTTTACAGTTCCGCAGGGCCTGCAAGACGGTGCTCTTCCACCAGGCCTTCAAGTAGGGAGACGCCCTGATAAACCGAGACCCTGGCCCTAAACTAACACCGTCATCAACATGTTAAAGCCTGATCTGAATTACCATCACTATTAACACGTCAAGGTCAGATGCTGCTAATGTCTGCCGTCGCCGTGAACAGCACTAGCACTTTACACTGTGTTTTAAAAGTGTATTGTTGTGGTTTTATATAATTTTTGTGTTTTAGTGTTTAATATGTTTTATGTAAGCTGCCCTGAGCCTGCCTTGGCAGGGAGGGTGGGATACAAATCGAACGAACGAATGAATAAATAAATAACTCTTAAATGGTCATGCAGTTGCAAACACATTCCAATAAAGAAAACTTTTCACTATTAATAATCCTCTGACTTTCCTCTTATGGGTAAAACACATTATTTATTTATTTATTTTGCTAGATATGTGTCCTGCCCTCCCCACATAGGAAGCTTAGGACGGGTTCCGTCAAACACAACATACAACAATTAAAACCGATTAAAATGCATCCGATAAAACACAACAAAATCCCTATATGCTAATCAGTGCCTCAAGCATTCATAGAGGATGGTTGTTTCATCAGTGCCTACTAGCCCTGGATGGCTAAGAGGAACCACCATGTCCAGAGGCCAATATACAGCTGAATAAAAATTGCTGTGAGGTGGGAACGAAGCCCGGGGGGGGGGCCTTGGGGGGCCCTACTGCATTAATGTGTGCTGTGGACGTCTTGGAGACATCTGGTTGGTCACTGTGGAAAATAAGCTGCTGGATGTCAGACTCCAGGTGAAGTTACTCTTAACAGCACTCTGCTTGGCAGTGATATGTCTATTGAGATTTAAGCATGATCCAGATCATAACTATGCTGTTTCAGAACTGGAGATTTTGGCGGGTAAAATCACAGATATAGGTAATTCAAATTAAACCCCTCCTAATGGTCATCCATCCCGCCTAGCCATAGCGGTCCTACCCCCCTTTCACCTGGGAAATATACGATCCCATTATCTACACAAGCAAGCTGGCACCAAAAGTTTCAAGGACATTCCTCAGGGAGAGGAGAGGTTTCTTCAGAAGAATTACAGCCTCTAAGGTAGCACAGTCACACAGTCCACACCCACTCCCCCCCCCCCCAAGGAGTTCCCTCCCCCCAGCCTCCATCGCAAACTGAGCAGGGCGATGTTTGACACTGGACTAAATGGGTTTTTGGTCTGATCCTGCGAAGGTTTTCTTATATTCTTCCGTACCACATTTCAGAACAAAAGAAATAATTTGCTCAGATGAATCTTTTTTTGGTTAGAGTATCAGACTAGGATCTGGGAGAGAGCCAGGTTCAAATTCCTTCTGTAGTATGAAGTCGCTAGGTGACCTTGGGCCACTCGCATCCTCTGAGCCTACTGCACAGTGTTGTTGTGAAGATGGAGGGGGAACAAAAAATGCCTCCTGGAGCTCCTTAGAGGTCAATAAAAAATAAATTGGGGGCAAACTTGGGTTTCTTGCAGGTCTCCTGAATTTTCACATTGTTGTCTTTCTACTGACCAGGTCTTCTCACTTTTGCTTTCCATTACCTCCCCCCCCCCCCCCCCACCACCCCACACTATGAAATCTGTTCTGATTGACCATGGCATTCGACGGCTGACTTTCCTTGTGGCACAAAAGGTATTTTGACATTTCTCACTTTGTTTACAAAACTGTGCCTTTATATATTTAAATGTATATATTTTTTACAGTTTTCGTGACATTGCAAATCTTATTTATTTTTAATGGGTGGAAAAATCACGTTTGCAATTGGTTTTTTTAATGCTACTTGTTCATCTCCAACTGTGAGATGGCATTTGCAATAAGTTCTCTTAAGAAAATTTAATTGAGAATTGAAGATAATGACAATATCGAGCTGCTTGTGATTTTTGTCTTAATTTGTTTTTAATTTGTGTACTAATTGCCAGCTTTCTCCTGCCCTCTCTCCCCTTCTTTTATCTCTCCGGACAACCCACTCCCTGCCTTTCTGTGTTCTCTCCTCCCACCCGTCTTATTTTTCCACTGACAAGGATTTCAGGAAACAGGTCTACTATGAGGTGGATCAAAGATTTCATGTAAGTAGAAAGGCCTCCCTTGGGAGGAGGCTCAAAAAGATTCCAGATTACCTATCATCTTTTTCAAAATTTGCAAATGCAGTTCAGAAGTATAAACAAAAACGTACACCTGGTATAATTGGCACATTGTGTGAGTTGGACCAATCCCCATCCAGTGGCATGGTCATGTGACTAAATGGTAATAGTGATTCTTCCTTGGGGGAGCTTTTGTGATCATTGTTTTTGTTTACAGAAGAACTTGGGTTCAGTTCTTGGTGCTTCCTGTTGCGAGGATCTCTGGTGGCAGGACTGGGAAATTCCTCTATCTGAGGCCCTGGAGAGTTGCTGCCAATCAAAGTAGATAGCATTTGGCTAGATCAGGGATTAGGCAGCCTTTTGGGCCTGAATGTCAACATTAAATGCATTGTCAACTCAAGGGGGGACGGGACGAGGGCTGTACTTGGCCACACCTAGTAAGAGTGAGCCCAGCCCCAGCTGCACTGGCAACACCTTGGGGGCTGACTTCAGACCTGACTAGTGGCTGTATAGATTTGGGGGGAAATGACAGGCATAAACGATGTGCATTGCCTTCTCCCACACTACTGTCCCCAGTGGCGTTGCTAGAACCTCAGCTTCTCCCCTTATTGCTTGGGCCCTCCTTTCCAAGCAAAATGGCCTCATGGTTGGAGTGTCTTTGAGTACCCTGTTTGGAGGAGCCAAAATTCATGCATTCACCCTTTAGTTTCTGCTGAAAAACATCTAGAGTGTGTGCTTATTCCAAGTGCCCCATTTAGGGGAGCCAAAATTCATGCATTCACCCTTTAGTTTCTGCTGAAAAACATCTAGAGTGTGTGCTTATTCCAAGTGCCCCATTTGGGGGAGCCAAAACTCATGCATTCACCCTTTAGTTTCTGCTGAAAAACATCTAGAGTGTGTGCTTATTCCAAGTGTTTCATTTGGGGGAGCCAAAACTCATGCATTCACCCTTTAGTTTCTGCTGAAAAACATCTAGAGTGTGTGCTTATTCCAAGTGTTTCAAATGTTTTGGTATGTTGGCTCAATTCAGACGTGATGCCAATCTGTCGTTAAGGAAGCATAGTGTTTGGTGTGAACTGACAAACCAAGGCCTGACGCTCAGCTGGCAAGGCAGAAGCATAAACCATGCGTTGAAGGGGACTTGCATACCATGATTTGTACCAGCTGTGGTATAACGTGGCATCCGGTTTGGTAGACCATAGTCAGATCTGTTTCTATGGCCACTCTGTTATTAAATGAGCGGTTTTTAAGTGGCTCTTTTAATGGACTGCACGATCACAACGTCTGGCATGCTTTCTTGATCTTTCCACATATTTCTCTCTCTCCTCTCTTCCCCTTCAGTTCCCTCCGCTTAAAACATACTAAGAGTTTTCTGTTATCCGGGTTAGGGCCATTAGTTCTGCTTTGTGGAATAATATGAGAGATTAGCTTGCAGCCTTTTTTTAAAAAAAAGAAAGAGAGCCAGAAAGAACAAGAATATTTCTCTACCATTCTTGGCGCACATCTCCCAGAATGCTTTGCAGTGCGGTGGAGACTGAGCCACTTTGCCCTGATTCTGTTGGATGGTGGCTAATCTGAGAAAATACGCACAGATACCGATCGATCAGCAGTTTTAAGACAGGAAGCAGGGAAACTGCATAGGGCTTACACCAAGAACAGAAAGGCTTTAGAAAGCAGAAATCAGGGCATTTAGAGAGAATAAAAATGGATACCTCACGGAAGGGAAAGTTCTTGAGTGTTTGGGAATAAATCCACACACTTTGCCTCAGGGGAAAGAGGCCTGGTGGAATTTAGAAGCAGAAGGTTTAGGGCAAACCAAAATAGGAACAGGATTTGTAGTTAGAAAGGGACCAGGGAGCCGAACCGAGGGTTGGTCTCCTTCCAAGCAAGGCATTTCCATAGCCACCAACACAACTCAATACAGCCTGTCAGAACTTTCTGATTTTCCACCTCAGTCCACCTCCCCCCTAGCCACATTCAGAACTCAAGACAAACCTCTTTGTCCATGGCAGCCACAAAGGTGGCTTCTTCTTCTGCTTGTGCATGACTGTGGAACAGAAAGTCTGAGTGCACATTTTTAACGAAGAAGGATGGGTAGCAGCTGCTCACCACAGTAGCCCAATGTGCAACCTCCATTTCCTTCCCCCCTTCCAGAGATGCCACTCGTTGGGAAGGCTAATAGGGGACAGACATGTCTCTTCCCATCTGCTGTTCCTCATCTTCCAAATGGGTTGGGCCACTGTTCCGTCTCCAGTAATTCAACCCTTTACTCCTGCCTTCTTCCGCCACCCAGGGTTGCAGGCTCTCCCTCCCCAGGCAACCCCAGAGCCCCACCAACAGTGCACAGCTTCGCCATGTCAGTTCCTTTCACTCGGTTTCTCTCCCTGCTCCCTCCCCAGAACCACCATGTTCTTTCTGGTATTCCTCCAGCCTGAACCAAATCCCTGCTACATGTAAGCAGGGCCTCACCGGGTTTAATCAAAGGTCCGTCTAGTCCAGCATCCCCTTTCCAGTGCTGGCCAGCCAGATGCATTTAGTAAGCCCACCAGTAGGGCAGGAAGACAATAGCCTTTCCTCACTGTGCCTCCCACCGGGATACGTCACCCTCTAAACAGGATCATTTCATCTGGCTATCTTCCCAGTGGCCAGTTTGTAGGTGGCTCTGCCCTCGATCAGTTTATTTCTTCCTGCCTAAACTGGTGGCCATCGCTGTCAGAGTTCCAGAAGTTCCAGAAAATAATTTTGTATTTCCATGGAGAAGTACTTTCTTGTGTTGATCCCAAATCTTCTGCCTGTCACCTAATTTAAATGGGTGAACCCAAAGTCTAGTTTTATGGGAGAGGAAGGGAAAAGTTCTTCTTTTCCCTTTTCTTTATACCATTTTCCCACGGCAGGAGGCTGACCCTGGCTGGCAGTTGGCCTGGTCTTGAGCTGCATAATGCGACCACCTTCCCTTCCCCTTTGGGGCAACAGACCCATAGAAGGATAAGAGCTGAGGTCAAGATTGGAGGACTCACATATTTTATTTTTCTGTACCCAGTGAGACTCCTTGCTTTGGGGGAAACGTCCGGGTGCGCTCTCCCTGTTGGGTTGGAAGACTTTCCCTCTGTGCTTAGAAGGGCCTTCCCACAGTCTCACTTGTGTCTCTCCTCTTGCATGGGCTCTGTCACCGGACCGCCTGTCAACTTAACTCAGGGGCCTTGGCTTGGGTTTGTTTTGTGTTTTAATTACAGTCTATATAATTAGTTCCCAGCATGTTGAGGTAATAGAGAGTTGCTCCAGCAAGCTTCCAATTTCCTCATCTCATTAGGTTTTTAACACGATTATTAGTATAATAACGGCCTATGATGATTTTCCCATGTAGCTTTTTGCATTCTCCAATTTGCAGGGTGTCTTGATTGGCTAATTTAGGCGAATTATTCTGATTGTCTTGATGATGGTTGGTTGATTAGAACACAGCAGGGGCATAATTCCTCCATCTAGGATGGCAGAATCCTTTTTTTCGGATTTTTTGGTTTTGTGTGTATGTTTATATATGCACACATTTAATTATGATATTTGGCCCAAATGTGGAATGGAAGACCTCAAAGAAAGCAGTGGAAGGAGGAGGGGTAAGTAGCATGCAGAGCTGAAGGTGGGAAAAGAGGAAAGGAACAGACACTAAGAAGAATAAAAGGATTTTGTTCATACTCTTGTTCCTTTTTCTTTTTAAAGGCCCAGACCAGTCTTGTAAATAAGGACATTTCTACACGGCAAACTTGTAACCATTTGATACCAGTTTAGCTGAACACATGGACAAAAGGCAGAGCTCTCTGGAGTTTCAGATGGAAATCTTCTATAGCAGCTGCTGCCCGATCCCCATTTTTTGAGCTAGAGAGGCTGAAAATTGAACCTAGGGACTTCTGCATGCAAAGCAGGTGGTTATCACTCAGCCACGGCCTTGCCCCTCGACTGTCATGGCTTCCTTCAAAGAATCAAAGAATTCCTTCAAAGATTCCTGGTAGCTAACACAAAAGATGTTTTGGGAGGCCTTGAAGACTTAACATATTTATTGTGACGTAAGCTTTCATGAACTAGACTCCCTAGTGTGTGTTTGTGTCTTCCCCACCTCCCTCGCCTCTCTTTCCCTCCCAAAGAAGTACAAATTCAGGATTCCCTGGGAAGAAAGATCAACTGTTAATCTAGTTTAGGTCTGTAAGTGTAGATATGACTTAAATCCACAGAAATTAATAGCTCATATATATTTACTCATTGGTGCCTATTGATAATTTGAGTGAGATAGAAGGACACACACTTCCTGGTTACAAAGTCTTCTCTAACTAATCATCTGGAGCTGAATCTTGTTCACCACAGGCGAGTGATCTGTGGCTGTAGGGAATACAAATTTGGGGAAGGTGTTTGTGTCAGAACAAAATACACGGCAACTCCATGTTGAGCCAATATTTAGCTCCCCACCTCCACTGAACCCACAGATCTGTCCTTTGTCATGCACCAGTGTTCCTTTGAGAGATGGGACTGGAAAATGTGTGTGTGCCCAGGCCCCTTCTATTTCTGAAAATGCCAAAACAAGGTTATAAAAACTGTGGTATGTTTTAAATGTTTAAATTTAACAAATCAACTCTTTTAACACAAAAAATTACAATGCAATAATTTGTAATGAATGTTCCCTTTTTTATTTAACAAGTACTTTGCCAGCTTTTTTCTCAGACCCTCTGTGCATTATACCGGGGCCTAGTGGTCTTCCTGATCCCCCCCCCCCCCCCCCGCGGGAGTCCCTGGGTATGGCAGCAACTTTCTTACCTGGGTTTTGTCCATTGTGTAACTTCTGCCCCTGTAGTCTTCCTTGGAGCTCTGTGTGCCTGGCTCTTAATATCTGTAAATTTCCCTGCAATGGGGAGCCAAGGTGCCGCTTCTCTCTCTTCTGAGAAGGGGTTGCAGGATATTGGAATGAATGTTAGTTTTGATGGAAACAAGATGAGCACTTACGTGAACGTGCAGATGCATGAACAGGAGAGTTATTCGGCATTTATGTTCTGCCTTCCAGCCAGTATTGACACTCAAGGCAGCTTATGATGCTGTGACAATTAAACCCACAGTTTAGTACTAGTTTAGAATCCCAGCACACACACACACAATCGGTCAGGGCACCGCGATTCAGATGTCACAATAAATTGGAGTTATATTGAAGACCTCCTAAATCAGGAAGCTGTCAATGTTGCTCTGTGCGTGAAGGGCAGAGCATGAGTGTGCAAGGATTTGAGACTTGTTCACATTGCCAGCAAATGGGTTTTTTATGTTGTCTGAACTTATAAAGTTCCTCCATATCTGGAACGAAGTTTGTTGTGGCAGGACTAAATCGCTCAAGAGTATTAGCTGTGATCACATGAAATAAATAAGTAGCCACCTTCATTTTGTATACTTTTTGCCCCTTCCGTTTTAGGGTTTTCCTCCTTGGCTCTTCCCAAAGTATTGGAGAAATGTAAATGGAGATTTTTTTCTACATAAAAGCAGAGAATCTTCTCACTATGGCCCCTTAACTTTAGAACACTTTCCCTCACAATTAGTAAATGAAAACAGATGGCTAATTATGTTTTTCTAAAGATACTAATCTTGTTCTTCTCTTCCAAACAGAGGGAATTCCCCAAATTTTTCACATTCCGTGCAAGAGATAAGGTAAGCAGTAAAGTTGTCTTCAGGTAGTGAATTGATTCCATGTTCTGCAGGAGCAGCCAGAGTCCAGAATAGCTCAAGGCTTTGCTACAAGCATATGTCATTTGAAAGCCCCAGTAAAAAGGCTTTGTAGCATTTATTAAACTAAAGACACCCCATAGGCCTTGGAATTCTGAAAACAACAATTGGTTGGCCCTTTGTGGCATCACAGCAGCTGAGCCAATCAGTTTTGAGAGAGGCAGAGAAGATAGACAGGAATAGATGGTGTCACAGAGACAACCCAAGGTATTTTGCTGTTTTAGTTGAAATCTGTGGTGCCCCCTCCCATGCAGAAATAATAATTAACTCAGTGTTTGTTTTAATGGGCAAATAATCTGTTACTGTGAATGGTAAGGCTGGCTCTGGGTCAAGGACTGTCTGCCGTGGCTGTAGCAGCTGTCAGGAGTGACAGCTCTTTGTTGGTCAACTGGATCATTTAATCAATCAGGATATGGAAGACTACTTCTATTTTTGGTTCATTTGTTTCTCATTGCATTTATTTAATTTTATTAAATATGATTTTGTTATAAACTTTAAAAAGAAATGATTAAAAAAAGAGATAACTATCTTTTTATTTTGTTTTTATGCTCTTATGTGTGGTAACCTTCATCCTATAGGGGAAAAAAAATTCTCCCTCTCCCCCGTGATGAAGGACAGTTCCTCCATGTAAATTGATGCAATCTGTCTATGTTTTATATCATTTCTCAGTTTGAGGAAGACAGGATCTACCGCCACTTGGAACCCGCCTTGGCTTTCCAGCTGGAGCTCAATCGAATGCGCAACTTCGACCTCACCGCCATTCCATGTGCCAATCACAAAATGCATCTCTACCTGGGTGCAGCAAAAGTTGAGGCAGGAGCCGAGGTTACGGACTACAGGTTCTTTGTTCGGGCAATCATCAGGCACTCGGACTTGGTCACGAAGGTGGGCTTTGCTAGCTAAACATGTGGTGTTAGACCAGGCTGGGATGTGGCATAGGAAGGAAGGGCCTGCATTGTGTCCAGATGTTTAGGAATACTCCATAAATGCTCTTCTGGGTTTTCTGTACACTCCCAAACATCCTGTGGCATTCCTTGTCGGGGCTGCTCTTGCATTTTATCTTCACACCACCAGTATCGTCAGGTGCGGTGTGAGACTTCCTGCAGGAATAAGCGGCAGCCATTTACATGAATGGGAGATAGGATATTACCAGACCCCCATGTGGCAGAGGTAAAACTGTTCCTGCCCCAGGTGATGCTGAAGTCTAAGATAAGTTTACGCACAGAAGAGGGGGAACACCATTTAACTCTGTTTAACAAATCCCACTTTACCTCTCCGGGTGCGGTCAGACGCACCGTTTGATCTGGTGTTGCGACGGTTCAGCTTTTATATGTGCAATCACACGCAATGTTCCCTCTTAGGTGTGCAGTCTCGTGAGCAGAAATTTTACCCTGTGAGCCAAAAATGGTCCTAGCGTTAAAACTGTGAGCGGGCCGACATTAAAAAAAATTATTAAAGTGTACAAACATACAAACAATATATAAACTATTATCATTTGTATTACAAGCCATATATTTATATCAAACTCATTTATATTTATATGAAACATATTTGTATTACTTAACCTCCCAGGCTTAAGGGCACAGGGAGTCACTTTGCAAAGCACCAGAAGCCACCAGGTTGCCTCTAGCAGGCTGCTGAGCCCGGCTCCCCCCCCCTTTTCCAACTAACTTTACAGGCTTAAGGGCACAGAGAGTCACTTTGCAAAGCACCAGAAACCACCAGGTTGCCTCTAGCACGCTGCTGAGCCCGACTCCCCCCCCCACCTTTTCTAACTAACTTTTCAGGCTTAAATGCACAGAGAGTCACTTTGCAAAGCACTAGAAGCCACCAGATCGCCTCTAGCAGGCTGTTGAGCCCAGCTCCCCCCCCTTCAACTAACTTTGCAGACTTAAGTGCACAGTCACTTTGCAAAGCACTAGAAGCCACCAGATCACCTCTAGCAGGCTGCTGAGCCCAGCTCCCCCCACCCTTCAACCAACTTTGCAGGCTTAAGTGCACAGAGAGTCACTTTGCAAAGCACCAGAAGCCACCAGATCACCTCTAGCACGCTGCTGAGCCCGGCTCCCCACCCCAAGACAAAAGAAACAACCAGGCAGCTCACCTCAGGAAGGGCAGAAGCTGGGCAGCAGAGCAGTCCTCCTTCTGGGCCAGGGTATCTCCAGGAGCACGAGGCAGAGGACTGCCGGGGAGGGTAGCAGCACCCCCTTTCACAGGACAAGCAAACCGCAGCTGAGGGGAGGCGAGGCCAGCCCAGATTAGGAAACACAAAGCATACTGCTGTGTTTCTGTGCTGCCTGAGCAAATGGATCCATGCTGCATGGCCATTGGGAAAGGAACCTCTCGTCCCTGTGCTGTGGTAACAATTGCTGCGCTGGCCAGGGGAAATCGGTGCACCAGCGCAGCTTGGCGCAGCTTAAAGGGAACCTAGATCACAGGGTCAACATCTACGCACCGTCCCCAGCCGTCACTTTCCGGCTCAACCCCCCTTTAAACCAGAGTATTTTGCTACCTGGTCCCCAAGTGGTGTTTTCCTGATTCTCCGGTTCTAGCTGCACTTTTCTGACATCTGATCGCTCCTACGGTGTCAAGCCGCTTCCGGGTGCCTCAATCCCCTCCCCTCTGGAAAGCTGCCCAAGGCTTCCACTTTTCGCCTGCCAATTTTTTAATGCGTTGGCGGTGTGCACATAGGTGGAGCTCCACCAATGCATTTAGAAAACTAAGATTTAAACAGTCACTTGTTTTAGTGTTTAGATGAGTTTGGGATCTCATGGAGGCCATTTTCGGGTCAAACATTTAAATGGCAGTCTTTTGTTGGAGGGATTGGATTGATTCGCTCTGGTGGTTTTGCGCATGCGCC